GTGTTGATTAAAACACATGCAAGAACTGCTGAAGTAAATTTAACACATGTTACAGGAGACTGGGTACAGTTTTTAGACTTTATTTATGGCAGAATATTTGAATGTAATTTTGTTTTGCCTCAATATTTTATGCGTCACTAGTATGCTATAAAAAAGTTTTTATTTGCTCAGTTGATTGGAACCACTGCAGACTTATAGCCAAATAAAACGGTTTAATTTGGGGATACCCATTATTTGTTTGAGGGGGTAGATAATAAAGGCAATTGGGTGTATCGGTTCAGGAGTCAATTTCGGCAGATACTCAATATCAAGTGCCTTGGACTAGTGTGCAAATAAATGCAATCTGGGTGTCCCCAAAGCTCATTGTTTTCATTTTGCGTTTTTGTGACATTGTTTTAAAATGTGATTAAAAACAGAATACAGTACATGGGTGGAGACAGTCCTTTTCAGCCTGTACCCATTTGAATGCACCACAAAGACAAGATTTTTAATATTCAACCCCCCCCCCCCCACTTTCACTGGTTTTTCATTTGAGACCTGCGATGAATCTCAAAGTATTGGGATGCGCATGTTTACCACTCTGTTACATCAGTTTTCCTTTTATCACATGCGCACTCTGTGTTTGGGAACTCGGAACACTAATTACTAAAGCTTTCTAGGTGGGATTCTTTCCATTTTTTGCTTCATGAACAACTTGAGTTGCTCAAATACCTGGAACCTTCCTTGTCGTATTTTGCATTTGATAATGCGCTTAACATTATTAAGAGAAGACAGGTCTGGACTGCTGGCAGACAGGTGTAGCACTGACATTCTTTTACTAAGAAGCCGTGGTGTTGTAAAATAGTGTGATCTGGATACGTTTTATAAAAGAGACTGCAAATCTGTCAACTGTATATGTTTAAGAAGTAGAATTCTTAGCTTTTTGTGAACATGTGGAAATAGTTGACAATTTGCAATTGACTATTTATGGTGTGTTATCTCTGTATTAGCATGACAACTTTTCTAAATGTGACATTATACCTCTATTGAGAGTGCACATTTCTCAAGTGCACTGCCGGTGCACTCCTGCTACAGAAAACCACTGTACTTGACAACTATTAAGTCGCATGTTAATAAACCGTTTTTCATTCGAAACAATGCCACACTGTAGTGGCAGTTCAGCCTTTGAATCAAGTGTTATGATATCTAACACTGTGTATTTCATATTACCGGTATATGGCCAACTGGCGTGCTAGGAAGCCATGTGCTATATTTGTTTATGGGACTGTGTCTCTGGGTACCTGTCACCCTTTGAGGACAAAAGTAAATGATTTTGATGGAATGTATTTATTAGAAGTCTGGGTTTAGAGTTCAAGTCTTCAGGAAATTAAAGTAAGTCTCTGTCCTCTGTAGTAATGTTTTCACAGTTAAGCTCTGGCACGTGTGACTTCATATGGAGTTGATTGGTTTAAAGCCTACTTAATATAGAGTTCCTGATCAAAATGGAAGTGTTTCTGTCAATTTTGAATGTTTTTGGCCGTACCGGACATGAGCGCACAGTCACGGCCACTGACATTTTCTCATTGTTTTTTTCCTGAATCGATATGTCATTCGACCTATTGATTTAAAAAAACCAAACAAACAAACAAAAAAACATATCCCAGCTAACTTGTGGCTTGATCAAATTTCACATTGACATTATATGATGGGATGTGTGTAATAACAAATCATATTCCACTGGCATCACAAGAGAAGTCTTTAATGATCTGTGCTTTTTCATGCTCAAACCTCGTACCAACAGAAGACTGGAATCAAAACTGTTTATTGGACCTGAATCATTTCCAGAACCGATCCGTCTATAATTTATGCAGTTTTATTTCCATAGTACCCTGAACCAGTCAGAACAGAGTTGTGTAACACATATTCCACACAGCAATTACACTCTTGGCTTTCAGCTTTTTTTTTTTTTTTTTGGTGCCCATTTCTAATTTTAGAATGTTCCTTTCGCATCACTTGGAAATCCTGCCGTTCCATGGGTTTGCCCTCAAATGATTAGCAATTTTCCACTATTCTATTATGGATAGAACACCAATTTGCGAGTGACTCTTGGGTCTAGTTTCATGTGGCAGCTGTGGGCCTCACGCCCTTAGCATCTGATGGACCAAACCTTCGGTCATCCTGGCATCCTTAGTTTCCTGTCCTGACATTGTGCATGCTTTCGCTCTCACAAGAAACATTCACAAACCTGACATGCCCATCAGCTTGTACTAAAGAGGCATAGTCATACAGGCTAACTTCTTCCATTCTTCTGTTTATTGGCTTGCTACAAGAGCTGTTAAACATAATTGTGGGGAATACCATACTTGACCTTACACAACCTCAAATTGAACTGTCATACCTTGAGATGAGACACAAAGCCCACACACCCATTCGCAAGTCACATTCATAATTGCACTTTCACTGTGCATGCAACTACATACAAAGGAATTATCCCATACACACACTGGATTCCCCACAGCTCTTTCAAAATCCTTTTACCGATCTCCTGTCCCCTCTGTGATTTTATCTTCAGCCTTTGCTCAAAGCGCGTCGACATGGACTTTCCATCTGGAATCAATGCCTGGTCATGGTGAGAGATCTATATGCCAAACTTTGACCTTGACCAAACGACTGATGCACATTTGGGATGGGCGAAGGAGGAAGATGCACATGGAGGCAGTCAGGGAAAAGAGATGTTGTCAGTGGTTTGGCTGAGCTCAAATTAATGATTTATTTGCCATCTTGTGACCTCAGCCTATTTCTCTCGCTGGATCTTTCACCTCTGTCAGGTATTTCAGGTTTGTTTGCAAAGTGCATATTTCCCTCGCCGTTGCTATGAGTGAGACCCAAGTCAAACATGAGACCACAGCGGATTCATGGAGTTTTCTGAGGTAAACCACAATGACCTGTTGTCAACAGTAGCTTGGAAAACAGGACGGGTGATAGCCACTCAGCTCTGGGGGCTTCCCCAATTAGGTTCATGACTGTTCGGTTGACATTTTAGCCTCTACTGTCCTTAAATTTGATGTGGTTTGCCGAATAAGAAATGCTGAGCATTTATATGGTAGCATCCTAATGTAATACGCATTGTCCATAATGACATGTTATTCGATGCCAGATACGTCTCGACTTGATACACTCATTTCAGAAGACCCAACTGGGTTTTGATTTTTGGCATGCTTCTTTGCAGCATTTGTCGTGATTCGCTATGTTGCCTTTTGAAGTTGCTGCGACATTTGGTTTGGTCAATGTATCTGCACCGTCTTGAAGCTTGAATTCATCAAAGCACTGGCAAGACACTGACTTTCATTTCAGTCATTCCAATTTGATTTGTTGAACAATATTTCCTCTTTGTTTCCTCTGTTTGTTGTTATTCTTTCCCTTAGCCCTTGCACAGTTTTCAGTAGCTGAATGTTCTGACTTTTGGCATCTGTCTAATTGTCTGTTTTTCTTATCTATCAACTCCGTTCATTTCATCTCCCTCTCTCGATACGGATAACACGAATGTAGATGAATGTACAATTTAAATGTGTTATGTTGAATGTGAGATGGCAAATTACAGTTCCAGGAACCTTTTTACCATTTTACAAAGCAGAACAAACATATTGCAAATATGAAATGATTGAGATCTGTTGAAAACACTCCCACTTACTAAAACTATGACCTTTCTTGCTTGGAAACAATACATCTTTGTGGCTGTCAACACAGTGGATAACATATTTTAAGTCCACATGTGCTGGCGGGATACAACGATCATATATGTATATGACCCCATATGTCAGGTGAGCATTCATGCACCTCAGGCCAAGCACCAACATGAAAAACAATTTGAAACCTTGTGATGATCTTCTGATTGCATTACAGCGTAACCCTGCTAAAGTCTACAGTTGTCCTTAGCATATTTTTTTTTCTTCCAGTGTTTCAGCATTGATGAAAGATGAAATTTGACCACATCTTTCCCATCTTTAAGCTTTTCTGCCATGTTATTACCTCATTTCATTCTTTTTGTCTCTGCTCTTCTGTCAAACTGGCAGAATTTTTACATTTGATTTTGCATCCCTGTGCAAAAATGTAGCATCATAACTTATGTGTTGCTCTTATATATAATATAAATGAGCATTCACCATAATATAGCCTTGGACAGTATTTAGGCAAAATATTATTCGTATGATTTTGTATATGAAAAGTAAATTGTACAGGTAAACTCGACTGTGTTTTGAGGTGACAAACTATGTGTAATATACTAATTTACCAAAATGGTGTACACAGTTACTGCCATTCTTACTGATATTTATATGTATAGGTTTGTTTTATATTGATGGTGTAAAATTGTTTTTCACACAAATCTTAGTACTGCATTAGTGAGTCAAGGGCACAAAGGCCAAGTGATGTACAAACTTGAGTTACTCTGAGTTAGGAATGAAACTTTGTTGTGAACCGAGGACCCCCATACTACAACGTAACATCCATCCATCCATTCATCCATTATCCGAACCGCTTTATCCTCACATAGGTCACGGGCGTGCGGGAGCCTATCCCAGCTGTCTTCGGGTAGTAAGCGGGGTACACCTTGAACTGGTTGCCAGCTAATCGCATGGCACACATAGACGAACAACCATCTGCTCTCACACTCACAGCTAGGGGCAATTTAGAGTGTTCAATCAGCCTGCCATGCATGTTTTTGGAATGTGGGAGGAAACCGAAGTACCCGGAGAAAACCCACGCGGGCATGGCGCAACTAGTAAATTTTCTGCGCTTTACATCCCCCCCATGTTTTGATAATGGTTATGGACTTTTGAAAGATACTACACCTGGTCAATCCCTTTCAAAAGCATTCCAGTTACCATATCCCTTAGGTATTGTATTTTATGCGATTGCTTGAGCAATGTTTTTCCATTCATCTAAGTACTGCTCTAGATGTTGAATGAGTTTTACTAAACTGATCATCATGAGTCATGAGGTCCACTGTGTTCTCTCTCCAGCTGGAGCTGCAATCATGTTGTGTGTTCCTGCCCAATGACAGCCTTCCATCCCCAAGCACCATCATCTTTGGTGACATTCCTGGTACGGTGCGTAGCTGGTACCACAACCAAAAATCTATGCCAGGAACCCTTGTGGTCTGCCTGCCCCAGGTCAGTGTCCTCAGTGCTGGGCACAAGTACATGGAACCAGTGCAGGAGCTCCCGTTTGTGGTCTCCAAGCCCATCCTAGAAGAAGGTAAGTTTTCACAATGTATGCAGTGAAATATGTTTCTTAAAAAATATTTACTGTGTCAAACTATGCTTTCAGTTGAATTGATTAGAGACTATCTAAATAACAACAACATAAATATGAAGAGAAGCAGTTTGAGATGTGTCTGAAAACACCAAGAGGTCCAATGTTTTAATATGATTATGAATTGACTTTCAGGATATGAATTTAAGCACATGACATAATTACAGATCATGTTATTAATAATTTAAATGCACGGAGCTAATAATGTCATCTAAGATGGGAATTCATCATCATTATGGCCTTTTCATCACGAAGCAAACCTTTGACCGAATACTACTCATTTGCAGTGACAAAAGACAAACAAACTTAAGTAGACCAGCTTTCAGAGATAGAGAGTGATTCTTGCACATCTGGTGTGCACACCTGGCAAAGTTGACATAAGCCTTGACAGTCCAGCAGTGTTTTTTTCTTAAAATAACAAAAGTTGGGGGCACCCCACTTTTTTTTTCTTAACTCTCCAGTGACATCAGAATCTTGCACACAGATTCATGAAATAAACAAATAAATGAGTACATAAATAAACAACCAGAGGGGGAAAATGACAACAAAAACAGTGACGAGTAGTTTTGACAATATTGCTGGTGAAAGGATGGCCTTAGCAATACACTCCACGCTCCCTTTCCATTAAATTGAACAATATATCAGCCGGCATTCATTTCAAGTGCGTGCTTTGGAATCCACACGTGTGCATCAGTTTTTACAAATATTGATTTCCAAATATAATCAGGATTATCTTTATTGGCCAAATGGGTTAAACGCACACAAGGAGCTTGTCTCAGTAGGGCTGCCAAGATTAGTCGACAAGTCTCAATGACGTCGAAGATCAAAATCGTCAACAATTAAATTGGTTGACATTGAAGCAGGAAGAGCTCACTCGCTCTCTCTCTCGTGAATGGAGTGGGAAATATCAGCACTCAGAATAACAGATCATGACATGTTTATCATCATCCCTCATCAGCATCGCATATTAATAAAACACATAATTTAGTTTGTTGCAACAGGAAAAAAAAAGTTATAATATTTGATTTTTTTTTTCCCTCCAGGTGCATATCACATTTTGATTGTTTAGATCGATTTACTATTTTTTAAATTATGCATGCTAGTGAAGGTTGTATGAAAACAAAATTAAAAACCAATACATGGCTTGATGCCCAAGAAGAGTGAAATATATTTCAAAGTATTTCTTTTCCCATTTATAGAATTTCATTGTATTAGTGAAACTCTGCAGATTTGGTTCCATTTTAAAATGCAGTAAACATTTACAGCTAAAAATTATAAGGCCACATTATTGCATTCGATTCAAGCTCCTCCATTTATTTAGAAACATGTCACAAGTACAAACTGCAATGTTTAATAAAAGTTGAAAGGATCATCATCGTAATTGTCTTTATTATAAAATTGTACATAGCTTAAAGAAAGCGCTGGGCTCATGATGGTTATTATAACAGCAGGTGATTGCTGGTGTGATATGCCCTGATTTACATATGATCCGCTTAATTGACTAATTGTGACGACTACCGCTGATTAGTCGACCAGAAAAATAATCGTTTGTGGCAGCCTAAGTCGCTTGCATTCGGTGTTGCTCTAGTCCTCCAAAAAAAAAAAAAAAAAAAAAAACCACCATCCGCAACAATACTTACATTTCAGTTAAATCTACAAAGTACAGAAAGTCGGATTCATAACAATGCCACAAACATTCCAATACATTTGAATGCCATTTCAAACTGTAACAGATGCCTCAACATTGCTGTCCTCTTAAAAATATACCGTATATGTTCCCAGTTCTCTGAAATTTAGTACTGTAATGAGAAGATTAAAATTACATCAAAATGATGATAAAGTATCTAACGGTGGATGGCTGTCAACAAATATGACTGAAAATCAAACAAATTAATTGTCTGACTTGTTTTGCAATAAAAAAGTCAATTCCCGAATCGCAAGTTGTAAATAGATGGGGTGATTATTGTAAAAAAGAAAAAAAAAAGCAACAATGAATAGGTACAGCGGAAGTGTGCAAAGTCATGAAAATTGTCATTGCTACTCAGCCCAGTGAAGTCGTAGTGATACAATTAATGGTACTGGTTTTTACAAAAACACATTTCATCTGGTTATCCACAGTGTTACTGTGTGCGAATATTCATGTTTTCCTGCTTTCTTTGATTTATGCACCCCACCAGGTGATGCTTTCCCATGGACAATTAGCCTGAGTCAATTTAGTGTGTACACTCTGCTGGGGCAGCAGCGCAGCCTGAGCCTCCTCACACCGATTGGGTGTACTTCCACTTTGGCAGTCACGTCACATAAGTCGCCAAACTGTTCAGAAGGAAGACACTCTTTTGTTGTCTGCCTCCATGTTGATCTGCAGCCCATCCAAGTCAAGTGCTCCAATCCTCAGGTTAGTCATAAATCCTTGACCTGCGACTGGCGTGTTGCTTCACTGTAACGTGCGTACACACACACACACACATATATATATATATATATATATATATATATATATATATATATATATATATATATATATATATATATATCAACACACACACGTATATTAGGATCAATTATTCCATCGATTATTCGAATAATTGTTTTCAGAGTTTGGCTGTGGGCTGTGATTGGTCATTACCTGACCTTGAGAAACTGTGATGTCAATTTCAGACAGTCATGAAATTCCCGCCCCCTGAGGTGGAAAACACGGGTATATTTTGCTGCTTAGTTCTTATTCCACAAACACAAATTGTTAATCAGAATACACTCTTTAGACTATTGGCAGCACATCGAACATAATATTGTAAAGACATTTTTTTTTTGTTGACTTCCCCTTTAAGGTCATTGTTTGCCACTCACACACTTGGCACCCCACTTCAAGACCATCCACCCCCAACATCCCCTGGACAATTGGCTATAGTGTCCTTGAGCAAGACACCGATACCCAAAACTTCTCCTCGGATGTTTAAGTCTATGCACCAGTGTGTGCCATTAACGGTGTGCGTTTGCTGTGTCCACTGCTGTGATGGCTCAAATGGAGTGGACAAAATTCACGTGCATGTGTGTGTACATGGCAAATAAAGATGATGATGATGACGACGGTTCTGCAGCTTCATCTTCGATGTCCTCGTGATAGGATAAGTCTGAAGAAAACATGAAGAAATACGTATGTACAAAATGTGAATTGGATAACGTCAGGTGCTAAAATGTTCATGGTAGCAATAGGGATTAGAGTCAAGACTAGTCGGAATAGTGGTAATTGATTGGCCGTGGCAGTCCTTCTCGAGCTCCGTCACTCTCTATTCTCTCGTTGGCCTCGTGTTTGGTTTAATTTACTGGCCTCATACTCTGAGAAAGGTACACAGTGCAAGGTCGCTGCTGCCTAAGGCACAGTCCGCTTGCTTGGGTATGGCTGACAGCTGTTGGCTCTGTCCCTGCATGGCTGCCGGACGAACGTTCGCAGGTCTTCCTAGACATGTTTGAAATAACCCAGCTGTAATGAATTGCGCTGATTTCCATTTATTTATAGAAAAAATTCCCTCTAATGTATGTGCTAACAGGCTTGCGTGTGTGGGCGAAAGAGCAGCTGAGAGAAATAAAATTGTGTTTGGAGTTGTTTGAAGTTATTTTGCGTGTTCTCATATATGTCTGTGCACCTTCTACTTTCGAAGGACCAGCAGTAGTAGGGATAGGGTGGAGTTCTCGAGGCGTTTGGTTGGCTTCGGAAGCGAAACATTTGAAATCCACAACTGAGCTCATGGTGAAAGAGTGTCGCTTTTTTTTTTTAGAGCTCCCTCTTGTCTAAATAAGTCTTAGCTGAATGCATGAATAACTGAAAGCATCACATCACGTCCCCCTGCTTTCCCCTGTCATGTTTTCCACTCATGTTTTTGGCTTTGTTGTTGTTAAAAGTTAGGGCCTCAAGTGAGCACATGATAAATTGCTCTTAACACTCTGACGCCAACCCTTCAGTTTTTCCTTACTGTGGTGAGTTTGTTTTAAGGGGAAATTGATGAGACAACAGAAGTTTCCTCTGTGCGTAAGTCTTTTGGGATTTTGGATGTTGCAGATAAAGAAAAAAAAAACAATATTGTAAGGCACATATGTTAGCGTGTGGTGCCTTTCAAATGATTGCACACTCAAAATAATCACTTTTTTCAATGCAGTCTCCGAGTTTCGAAATCAGACAAAATCAATCAGGGTTCAACTTCAGTTTGAAAATGGATTGTGGTCCATTTCTGGCTACTCATCTCTTTACTCTGTCTCTTCAAGCTGTAACAAGATTTAGTGTCACGCAACTACCAAACTGTCAAGCCAAATCAGTGGTAATGACCTCAACCTCCCTAAAGCAGCTGTTGGAGTCAAATTTTGGCCAAAATAGATTTAAATTTGCTTTCAAATGCTAAGACATGTTTTGTAAAGTAAGTTTGTCTTTTAATTCACTCAACTGGAACAATGGCCCGCACTGAAAGCATATCCAGTGTTGTTGCCATGGTCAACTTTTGATTACAAAGATGCTGGGAGGTTTGTGCACTGAGGTAAGGGTGCAAAATGTGTATTAACTATACAGCATAATTACACCCCCCCCCAAAAAAAAACTTTTAACCATGTCGTGTGGATTACAGTAACCGCGTTGCTCATCACAAAACCTCAGCTATCAGTTGAAAAAGTCCCCGATTCACAGCTCTGCATAATTGTTCTTATCTTTGCTGTAACACTTTGAAATGTGGACACGTTTTGGGATCATACTGTAGTTTGTGGTATATTTGCGGCTTAAACCAGGCGGTCAAACTCATTTTTGAAACATGACGTTGATGCACATTATTTGTTTCGCAGGCCACTATTTGGCCCCCGGGCCATGATTTGGACAACAAGGCTCAGTCTGTGTTTACAGTATTTGATTCATATTCTTTCGAAACATTTTTGTTTCCCCTTACGTCTTTGGTCCCTCTTCAGGTGCAGCTGTTGTACAAGCTCCTTCTCAGCTGGACGTCGACATGGGCTCGTCTCCAGAAGCATGGTATTTTACGTCAGTCTGCCAGTATCCCAGAGCCCCCCGCTGGTGCTGCTCCATCCTCTTCAGTACACAGCAGTGCTGGTACAGCTCTGCCTGATACGAGCACCTATAGCCCATCTGCAGATGTGGGATCCCCTACTGAGGTTTGTTTTATACAGTTAGAGTGGTAATAAGTGTTGATGTTCTGTTAATTAAGCATGCGCTTTCGAAAGACACCTGTCAAAGGCCACTTTGCCCCCCCCCCCTTAGTTATTGTAAGGACCTTAAATTTCTTGCATATTTTTTGCTCCAGACTAAGATTAGAAAGATTGTATTATTCATTTATTTAAAAAAAATACTCAGGCCAGTTTTTGACAAACAAACAAATTTTATTTTCTCTGGGACATTAAGATATCCTTGGAAAGCATTATGTATGGTGAGGAATTTAAATATCACTACACATGCAAGAACTCATAGTTCTTGCTGTCTCTTTGTCATGTTGTCTCAATATTTTTTCCCACTTAAACTGTGAATACATCCTCCCATATTGCAACCATGCTGTGTGCGATTCATTTAAACATGCTGTTTAAGACTTTGGTATCAGCATAAACATGCATATGCTTTTGATTTATTTTTTTTAACCACTCTTTTTTTTTCTTTCATTTTGAATTGTTGATCAAGTATGTGGTGAATCCTTGACTGGATTTCTGCATACATGGGAAACAAGATGTGATCTGATCTTCATCTATGTTGCAATAGATGAATACAGTTAAACTAACACCGCACAAAGAAATATATTTTATTTATATATGTATAGGTTACAGTGCTTGATGGAAAAAAAGTATGTCAACCTTTGGGTTGAATAACTGGTTCGGCCTTCTTTGCCAGCAATAGCCTCCACCAAACAGTTCCTGTAGTGGCCGATCAGATGACCATTCTTGTTGAGATTTTTTTTTTTTTCCCACCTCATCAATATTCCTGGGATTTCTGGAGTGAATAGCTATCGTGGTCTTTCCACTGCATCTGAATCAGGTTGAAATCAGGTTGAGATCTGGACTACTCAGTTGTTGATTTACTGCAACTTTTCCTTTGTGTCATTGTCTTGTCTTATATCACCCGTCTTCTGTTTAGCTTTTATGAAAAGATATTTTATGTTGACGCTATCAATGTGTCCAGGCCCTGAGTTGGCAAAGCAGCACTTTAGTTGCATTTGTTCACACACTAGTTTGATGGTAGCATGGCTAAACATCCACACATTCTTTTGCAATCTTCAAACCTGTTCTAGAAACACAACATTATTGTCTTTGTATTGGCATAATACTGTTCCCACTCTTGTATTGGACTATATGGTGTCTGTTTTTAAGACAACTATACATGTGCCCAATTTGTCATTTGGTTCTAATAGATGGTTATCCCAGTTTAAGGGTATTTATCGAAGCTGTAATGAGCAGTGTAAATGTACCTACATTGTTTGTGGCCTGGCCAAAGGAAAATGTGTGCATGGTATGCAAATTTAATATCTTGCGGTGGCCAATAATTATTTGATGTCATTATATTATCACACTAGCACAAAAAATATATACAAACCAATATTCATTTCCCACAAGAATTAAAACCAGATTATTTTGACTTCATAAAATGTAAATCATCAATACTTGAATAATAGGAATGAATGCTTTTGCTAACATTGTACACGCTAGAAAAGTCATGCATATTAATGCATGTATGGTCTCACGAAACATATTTAAAATGACTACGACAAAAGAGATGTTTAGCCTGCCTTGGTTTCCAGTTTTGGTTGATGATCACAGAGATGATTCACAGGATTTGATGTGTAGAAAGCGACAATAAAACTGCCTGTCTGAACTTGTTTCACAATGTATCGGTAAACCTGTAAACCATTTCATCCCTGGTGCATCGTGTGATTTTTTTTTTTTTTTTTGGTGAGAGGGTGAAAAAGTGGCTCCATTAAAATGAGGGTCTAGATGAGTGTTTGTATTGTTAAGCTGTGGCAACGAGCCAGTGATTTAATGACTCCTCATTGACCACATTGGACCTGTCAGAAATGTGTGGCCCTTCGGGATCACAGAAACAACGTTTTGACATTTGAGAGGTAATAAAGTGAGTCAGTATTCATGGTATTTTCATACCATATGCCTGTGTGCATCTGTTTCTGCGTTAATTTTACAGCCATCAACTTTTGTTTATCCTCGCATCATTTGTGGAACCAGTGGCAAAGCAACAGTTTTGTTAGTCAGGGAAGTGCTTTGTGTGTGGGTGTTTGTGTGTGTGCGTGCGCGTGCGTGCGTGCGTGCGTGCGTGCGTGCGTGTGTGTGTGTGTGTGTGTGTGTGTGTCTACAACACAACCTTAGAGTCCCCTGACAACCCACTTGTAACTGTTTACTTAAGTACAAACACTGGTAGAAGTGTTTAGTCCTGTGGAAGGTTGATGATTAAGCAAGAATGTAGGAGCTGTTTTGATAAGTCTCAGCAGTAGTGGCAGCACACTCTCCCCAAGAAGCACACCCCATGACCTCCTTCGATGTTTTTTTTTTTTTTTAATAGTCACACCACAGCACATGCCAACTGTTAGCCATCCCCACAACCAATGAAGTCATTTAATAAACGACAATTTTCATGCTGTCCTGTAACCGGAAATATTATATTTCAGTTGAATCTATATACTTACATATCACTTCTTAGATAGTTTGAGTACTAACTTAGTGTAGAAGAAATCATTTTTCTAAATATTCTGGAATAAACCTAAGAGTCCTATTTTCCATTTATTGTTTCAATTTTCCACAGACATTGAATAATCCCTGACCACAGAAGAGTAATCTTCCATTTCACAAAGTCACTCATGGCGCAAAACTCCCAGGCCGTCACACCCACCCCACATCTCTTTCTGCCAACAGCAAAGAGCAGCCCTCCACCCACCTATCACAACACACGAGCATGCCATGAAGTAATAAAGGCGCCAAATTTGCCCATTTAGCTTGTCTATGTGGAGATGGGGCAAGTTACATTCCAAGGTCATTAAGGTAGTGTCAATAATGCACGGAATCAGCTCTAAAAAATAATTTGCCATGAATACCTTTGTTATATTCCGCTATCATCTCATTTATGAGCTTTTTTTTCTTTTTACCTCACCCACAACAATCTGTTTGAGTAATTCCTGTCAGTTTTTTTCGTTACCGTCGCCACAGGACCGAGTCAGATTTAATTCCAGTCGCCAGATTTGACACCGAATCCTACGTCGTCCTTTTCAATAGACTAATCTCCACTGGCATCTCCGACCTCTCCTCAAACTGTTTTAAATGCTACTTTTCTGGTTGCACTCAGTTCATTCAGTTCAAACTATTCAACTCCCAGCCACGCCCACATCCAATCGCTGACCTTCCTCTTCATCCCATATCTTCATTCCCATCTTTCACAAATACATCCACTTGCATGACTATGTGGTCGACACCTGGTTTTCCCTCTGCAGCAAACCCTCTCATCTCACAGACTATCTCGCTGAACTCAGATCGTAATTCAGTGCATGCTTTTTTTACACTCATTTTTTTTTCTCTGTCCAGGTTAAGGGAGTGGGTGTCATCCTTGACAGCACTTTATCATTTCAACCTCATATAGAGAATATCACAAGATACGTCTTATTCCCAGTAAAAATGTTCACTTGTCATGTCGACGATTATTGAGATTTCATCACTCACAAATCCCTCCATAAATTCCAACTGGTTCAGAATTCAGCTGAGTCATAACAAGATTCCCCGATCCTCCCATCACTTCACCACATCTTAAAGCTCCTCCACTGACTGCCAGTTAAATGTCAAATACATTTCAAAATCGTTCTGCTTACTTTCAAGGACATCCGCAACTTCACCGCTCTCCCTCACATACAGTACCTGTTCAGTGATCGACAAATTTCCACCACATCTTAGACACTCAGATTCACATCCTCATCTCTACCCCAATGTGCCGCCGGCCCGCCTCAACTCTCTTGGGAGGAGAGCATTCAGTCACTTTGCTGCCCTTCTCTGGAACTCATTACCACCTGACCTGCTCAATACATATCATCTTCACATCCAAACACATAAGATTCCTGTTCAGGGTGTCCTACGGGCCCTCGTCGAATCTTTTTTTCCTTCTTTTTTTGTATCTTGTGTTTCTTAGATATTTTCAACTTAATTTTGTGATATCCTCGTGCACCTTGAAAGGTGCATTTCAAGAACTTTCATGAATATTAACCTGCACTCCACCTTAGGACTGTCTGTCTTTCCCTCATTCATTCTCTGACATTTCACAGCCTGCTGTTGTCTGCCAGTGTTTTGGCCTTTCTGATGAGCAAAGACAAACTCTGCAGAAAAAATAAACTCGGATCCTCAGTCCATGTATTGCCCGGAGGCCCCAACATTAAACTGTATACTTCTTTCGAAGGTGTGGGAAAAAGAGGATGTGTGTGTTTATTTGGGGCCTCAACTTGGCAGTTTAGGAATGTGAAGGAACCCGTCTCACCTCATGTTTGCTTTATCACCTTGATGAATGGACGAAGAGTAATTTTAGTGAAACAGATCAAAGATGAACAAAAAAAAAATACATCTTCTACTTTTGTTTTATGTTTTTTGTATTTATCTCCTCATTGTATTCATCTAATCTATCTGTCTAGTAACTAGTACAGAAGGAAAGCCCACAATGGTCACAAAAGAACCTGAAAGTGACAAGGCTGGCAATTTTCTAGTTGTATATATGTGGAAATATTGCTACTAAGAGAATGAAAGTTCTCGCAGAGGGTGAAAAAAGCGTTCACTTTTCAAAGTACTCAAAGGCAGTTTGAATAATATGTAAAACAACAATAATATGTAAAGATGGATACATAAAATGCAATTTTGAATAGGGTGGTTTTCAGGAGTGAGTTAACAAAACCTGAAATCTTTTCAAGAGGGGGAATAAAAATTAACAACTTCGCTAGTTGCTAGTGCTCACAACATCTTATACAGCCATGGAAAAAATTGAGACAGCCATGTTTTCTTGAATATTTTGTTCATTTTGTGTCTGCTGCCGTGAAAAGTGACTAAGTGTCACAAAAGAAAACATGGAATGCCTAAAAGCATTACATTACATTACATTACAGTGCCCTGGATATGTATGTAATAAAACCTGATAAAAATTTCTCAATGAGCTCTTAAATTCAACTCTTTTGAGCTTTTTTTGTTTTCTTTGATATAGTGGCCCAAACAGATAGACCTTTAGTTGTACTAGCCATTTAATAGGAACAGAAAACTGAAGAAACAAGGGTGGTCTCAAATGTTTCCATGCAGGCTGTAAGTGGAAATGCGGCTGTGTTCAGAATTTACCAGTTACATTCAAACTCTTGTTAAATGTGAGCCCGCACATACTGTACCTGCCAGCAATGTAAGTGCCACTGATTAATCTCCCAACTGAAAATGTACTTGTAGGTTGATATATTTGGAGTCTCATCTTAGAGCACAAGCCATGGTCCACTGAGAGGGACGTCATTGTTCATTGGTGTCAGTCAGGAGAACTGTGCATACATATAACATTCCAAGACATTAAAATACACATTACAGTGGCATTACCAAGAACTTTTGCAGAAAGACTTGAAATCTCCCTAACATGTGTTGGGAACTTATTGGCCAGAAATCCAAAATTTATGTATATGCCAAACACAGCGTATCTACAATGAAGCATGTTGGTGGCAACATCGTGCTGTGGGGCTGGTTTTCTTCAGATGGCTTCAGCAAGGTGGGGGAAATTATGCACAGGTCCCAAAAATAAGTCACACAAAGCCTCCATGCTTCTGTCAAAAAGGAAAAAAAAAATACATCAAGGATTTCTTAACTTTATTTGTGGTCAATCAGAGACACTAAATGGTGTCTGGTGTGTACAGACTCCCATTTACCAGGAAATTCAATTAGATTCGTTAATTCTGAATAAAGCCACATCTCCAGTGATAAGTGTGTGCACACTTGTAAAAAAAATACAGCTTGAAAAGAGTGCATTCTATTTTCTTTTTTTTTATTGATTTGTACAGGTTACACATCATAAGAATGGAAAAAAAGGTTGATATTGATTAATCTTGGTCCCAATTATTTCTATCATAAAAAAACAAAACAAAACAAAAAAAAGTAATTCGAACAGGGCTGATCAGACCTTTACATCCACCGTATCTGTCTACCCACCCATCCGTCATTGAAAACATTTCAAGGTGGGCAAGTAAAGCAAAACGTGTTGACGTCCTGGCATGCTAAGAGCTGAACGTGATGGACACCGTAGTTCAGGAGAGTAGCAAGAATGGCCAGGTGTGAAGTAAGGACGACGTCTGGGACTCCCACATTTGCCCAAACTGTGTTATGCAGGGGATCCAGCGTGCGTTGGACCTGTCGTCTGAGGTATGGGAGCAGAAGGCTTTCGGAGATCTGAGCTCAGGGCCACGGGCCTGCAGACCTCTGTCTGACTCGGTTTCGGACTTTTGGGGACTGGGATGAGACATGATGTCTTCCACAGGGTTGGAACCTTCCCCAGATGCAGACTCATGTTGAAAACATGCTGGAAGGGCTCCCCCAGCTCAGCAGCTCACGTCTTCGGCATTCTTGGACACACTTTGTACAGGCCTGCTGCTGCCTTGCCAGGGTGGAGACAGCTCGCTCACTGCTGACTTGATGTCTGCTGATGGTTGGGGAGGGGGAGGCTGTTCCAATGTCAGTGTCCTCCCTCTGATTTATGAGTTTGGGTGTTGAGGAGGTAGAAGTTGAACGCCAAATGACTTGCGTTCCACCGGTGCCTAAACATAAATTCCTTGTGCTATGAGACCACGTTTCAAAAATCACTTTATCACACTATTGGTGATCCTTTGGGCCATACTTAAAACATTAATGTTGGATACATTGTTGTATTGTCCACTTGGAATGTCATTTAAGTTAGGGGTTTACATGTATTCCAAAACACATTTTCCACACAGAACATTTTAGGTAAGGGACATGATGTGCTCTATAAGCAAATCCACCAAAGCTCAGCCTTTGGCTCAGGGACTCCATTGCTAGCAAAATGTTCTTCACTGTTTGTTAAAACTTCTTAACTCATTCTCAACGGCATCACACACTTTTTTTGGTTGCTCGTCAACAAAAACATTGAAGTAGTTTTATATTATTCAACAATATTATTTTATTTGTTTTTTTTTTCGGGGGGGGGGCTGAGGGGGCTCTTAAAATTTTGGGAAATTTTACCACAAACATTTTTTTCCCCCTTTCAGCCCTAATTTTAAGGCATTTGAGCCGTGAGAATGATTTGTAAAAACGCCGGATTCGTTTTTTTTTTTTTCTTTTGTTGGGTGTCCAATGTTACAGCATAACGACTCTTCTCTACACTGTGGTCAGTCCCACAGTGCCAGCGGCCAGCTTCTGCTTGGGCTCTTGACATTACAGTGTAATCCCACTGACTGGCTAGAACTGTAAACTATACAGTCGTAACCGCACACGCACACTCACCGAGGGATATGTTTTGACTCCAGCTCAGCAATAATTAGTCCCCAAATGGCAGTTGACATTATATCTTTTGAGACGGAGTGAGCACCATTACTGCTGGGCTCATGTTACTCGCCGCCAGTCGTTGTTACATAGGCACACTGACATACAACAACCATTTTTCTCCCCATGGAAACATATAAGAATTGTGCTTTGGCAGTGGATTGGGACAAATTTCACTTTAAGATAAGATGATGGAAGGGAATCTGTGTTTCTTCTGTACTATATACTGGAATTCGTTTGCAACATTTAAGTTCATCCTGTTGAGTGGTAATGGTTTTGATGGATTATATGTCATGTTTTCTGATATGCCTTACATAAGAATAATAATATTCCTGGCATGGTTTAATTTTTGTCATTCAGTGGTGGTACATGTGATCATACTTTTGTCTAAAACCTTCTTCGATGTCTTTAATCAGTTTGAAAACGTTATACTCTGAGAGCGTGCCCAAACTTTTTTTTTCCCCCCCTCGCTTAAAAAGCAAATATATTTAATGGGGCACATGTTTCTCATCAGTGTATTGTGGTCTCCATACACTATAATGTTGAATAGGTTTTTAAATCACCGCGATCCATATATATTTTTAATACGATTGTCACTGAGCCCTTGTTGTCAGCCACTCCAAACTGTGCGATTAAATTCAATTTGCAAATTAGTGTTCTGCTCTTATCCTTCCCAAACTTTGGAATGGGGACATAGTTTCCTCATCTGGATCCTCTTAAAGACGCTGTAATCATCCCAGCAGCTGTGGTGTTTCTAATTGAGATGGTTGATAACCTCCCCCACCAGCCACAGCCAGGCTCAATAACCATGACATAATCTGTCATTACAAGGCAGCGATGGAAGAAGCTGTGGAAAAAAAGAAAATCCCACATTTCTCGAGCTTCAAATTACCACATTGTTTATTTGCAGGTCTCTCGCTTTCCAGTCATGCAAATATGTGTTTGGAAAACAGATTTACTCAAAAGAAAGACATAGGGTGCACAAAATAACCTCCTTGCCATGAGCCTCCGATCCTCACCCACCTTTGTGTTGGGAGATGGCAGAAAAAAAAAAAAACAAGCAAAGAAAAGTGTTCTTCAAAACATATACCCCCGAAATGAAGTGTTGTTTTTTCCTTCCGGCAATAGAAATCATGTTATTTACTTACAGTAATTGCACATTTGAAAATAAACATGAGCGCACCTTCTTAACTTGACCTTTCATCTCTCCCGAAGGGTGATTCGGTACCAGGAGGTGATGATGGTCCTTTTGCTGACACAGTGACCCTGGAACAGAAAACTAGCAGCATTGGAGGAACGAGTGGAAAAGTCAGCCTTTGGATGCAGTGGATGTTACCCAAGGTTATTGTTAAACTGTTTGCTCCTGACCCAGCAGTCATAAAAACAGGTATTTGACCAAATCATATGCTCTATTATTGTTATATTATTTAAATCTTGGAAACTTTGAAACTATATTTAGAAGGACTGTAAAGCATAATTTACTCCAGATCCAGTAATTTGTATAGTAGGATAGAGTCAAGTAAACTTTTTGCCTTGTTAACGCATCACTCTTGAAGGTTAAGAGGATGAGGGGTTGTTGGGGAGGAAAAGCAATTATGGAAAACACATCCAAGTGAGCTGTGTCATATCTCTGTTCAATTTATTATGGTGCCAAAAGGCTGCATTTATGGGGCGGCATGTCTCGGTGTTATAGTGGGTGTCTCCCAACCCAGAGATTGTGGGTTCGACCCCCCGGCCCTTGTGGCCACGTTGAAGAGTCCTTGAGCAAGATACTGAGCCCCCAGTTGCTCGTGATGCTGTGTCATCAGTAGGTGAATAAGGTAGCAGTGTGAACCGCTCTGAGGGTCTTATAGGTGGAAAAGCACGATGCAAGTGAAAGACCATTTACCATTTAATTTTCCTTCAATGGGGGCCTCCAGTATTGAGCATCTGCCCTCCAGATTTGAAAATGTGCAATCTTTATGTGCCAGCATTACATGTTGGAGGGAGTTTGAATATTGATTGAGTTAAAAAAAAAGTCAAGCCAGATCCCCTTAATAAAAAAATGATTCAGTAAAAGTTGATTCAACCAAAAGGTATGGATCTCCTGCTTGCTGGTGAAATGAGGCGAGGCTTCAAGCAGGACAATATCAGAGGAAGTTGGCCACAGAGCATCAAGGGGAACTCAGCGCGGAAATCTTCTTGACAAGAATGTGGTGTATGTGGCTAGACACCACATGCTGATTAATATTGTGGTCATGGAATCGCAATTAAGCAGATGAAGCCATCCGTTTTCATTCATCTCAGGGGGCAGACATTTTAGCATTCTTTTGCCGATTGAAATTGACGTCAAACTACCTTCCAACATCCCACTCACCCGTTTACGGGGTTTGGTCTTGTGACCAAGCCTCGTAGCATGCAACAGTCTATCTTGGTTCAGAGAAATTATACCTTGGTCAGTGAATAGCTGGTTAATTGCCTTTTGTGTTTCAAGAGTTGAAGCGTTTTGCCCTTGATCTCTCTGAGTATCTCCTTCTCCCTCCGAATTCAGATGACATGGGGTTAGTGTGTTAGTTACATAGAGGAAGTACATCTTGTTGGACACTCCTCTCAGCCATCTGGACATTTGTTTGTCTGTTCCCATCAAAAAACAAACAAACAAAAAAACCAAAGAGCAGTGACATAGATTTAGCGATGTTCTGCCGAGCTGTTGTTCCAGATTCTACTGGTTTTGATGCCGTCTGGTCAAGCTAGTGTCAATAGGCAAGTTTTTTTTTTTTCCGGGGGGTGACAGAGGTCAGGTTCCCCATAAAATCTGATCATCCACCAGCTCCACTTAAAAGCCAAATCAATTACCCAATTTCCTTCTTTTGAGAAGTGGATCGCAGCATGTGCAGAGCAAAGACATTGATCTATATCACTTTGGTGTCTATGAGTCGCTGACGACCGCTGACACCAACTTGGGCGCGTTCTTTCCACAAACTATCCACAATGAAGCTGACAAGTCTTGTTTTTCAATGTACCAACCCACGAGGAACTTCTGTGTTTCTCCAAATCACCACAAGGCAACAGTAACAACGTGCTTGAAGTCTATTTTCCCAAGCCCCTCTTTGACTGTGGGACTTTTTTTCGTGGAAACAATGACAACAATCTGCTCAGCTCACAGGCTCGCCTCGCTACAATCTCAATCAGTTTGTTGAACATGAAACTCATTTTGCCTGTGGTAGGTAGTTTAGTTTTCACACAAGATGCAGCGAGGAATGCACATGGTATATCTACAGTATGTCTGTTTAAATGCACGGTCTTTCTGAACAATCAGTGTTGGGTGACATGCACATTCCACATTTTGGCAAGCCGAGGTTGTACTGTGTACTCAACTCATTTCGCCCTCTTACTCATTCTCTCGTTTTCCAGTGTGGTTCTTTCTGCCAGCGTGAAAAGTATGACCATTGAAACAAAAACTGAAAGCCCCTCCCATCATTAGCAGTGTTCCATCTTAAGGATTCATGTGCAGCCAAGCATTTGTAATGCATGTATGTCAGCATTTACTAATGCTGTTTGAAAATAAGAAAAACAACACTTTTTTTTCTTTTTTTTTTGCTTTCCCAACAGAAGTCTGCGTGGTCAGTGAACTGGAAGACTTGAGTGCCTCAGTAGATATCCAGGATGTTTACACTAAGATCAAATGTAAAGTTGGCAGCTTCAACATTGACCACTACAGATGCAGGTGGAGTATCGTTAGGACACAAACATGCACACGCGCCATCTCTCACCGCACATGTATATTCATGAGGGAAGTAACCATCACCATGTAAAGCCCAAGTAAAAAAAAATTAAAAACACACACACACGCACACACACTTGAACACTCATGCCAGTAACACTTTTTTGTTCCCGTTCCACCTTCGTGAGGGGGACTTTTGGGATTATCACCCCAGCGTCATCGTCTTTCCAGACAGTTTGAGACCAAAAAATTGGATGGATGATTTGACTCTGCTTTGGGCTGGCCCAAGTCTGACTCACAGAGCAGATGAGTTCAGTTTGGCCATCAGTCATTTTATTTGCGCCTGTGGTGTCTGAATTGATTCATAGAAACATTAACACACTGGAGGAAAACCGCTTGGCGCTGTTCCATGACATCCTAATATATAGTAATCTTTCTCCAAGTCAAGTTGCATTTGGAATTCTATGATTTACCTTCTCCACAGAAATTATCAAAGCACTCAAAGCCAAACAAACTCAAACTGGGACTACAGTAAATTTGTAATTGCTGTTTTTCTTTCCACATTTGCATGTTTCCAGTCTCTTGCTGCTTGACTTTTTTCCTGCTCGTCCAGATCACATTTAGATCGTTGTTGGACTCGGTAATTCAAGAGTGCCCGCTATGTACGTGCCTGAGGTCCTCTTAGGCAGGAGGCAGTTCCCCCTACCTTAGTCTAAGAAGATAACAAACCCAGCAGCTCTTTGGATTCCATAGACCATGATGTGTTTGTGTGTGTGTTTCCAGTTCAGTGTGCTTACATGCCTGTATAAATATGTTCTTGGCTTTAAGTGCCTCCTCCTCTCAACGAGCCAGACAGTGAAGTGGGGATGGAACCTGCTTGCTTTGAGTCCACCTTGAAGGCTGTCATTTGCAATGAGTGTGTGAACCACCAAAATGATAACAGAAAAGGAACCTGGGTTGCCAGATTTTGAAATCACCTTAGCTGGTTCCAATTTGGTTTGTTCTAGTCTTATGTGTTACTTACTGGCCAGAGGCGCATTGAAACAACTGACTTGGCTTGAAACGTAAACATCAGACCTCCCCGATTTTATTTGTGTTTGTTTATTTATTTATTTAATTTCTGTGGTCCTTGGAGTTGGATTCCACCGGGCAAAATGTGTTCCATTAAGTTTGCGCCGCCACACCAAGCCAGGAGGTTGTCAATGGTGAGTCGTCGTTTTCCAGCGTTAATGTGTCATGGGTGATTCTATAATCTTACCTCTCTCTCCAGGTGTTTGCCCATTTGCCCCAAAGATTGGTCCAAGCTTAATCTTTTAGGAGACATCAATAATTTGGCAAGAAGATAATGATTCAATTTTAACATTTTCCATTTAATGCTCATGAACAAACGCCCTTTAAACTGACCAGAGTTTTGGCAGGAAGCAGCGCTCCACAATGTAAGCCAGGTAACATCAGTGCTTGTTCAGGACATATTGGAGGCTGTGTGGGCTCCTTGCCCACTGTAATCTCTATTCTCCACATATACAAGAGAGCCCACTGGGATACAAGTCCATATTCATCATTCGGAACAGATAATTGTTTGGTATTTCTGCACCCAGCCCAGTTTATTTGTGTGCAGCGGGTTGGTTTAAATTAAACCTGACACCAAAAATGTCTCATCTGGCTCTTGATGTCTCACTGCTGGAAAATAGCAAAATAGTAAGGTCAGTCTAGGGTTAGAGGTACATATATCCATGAAGCCTAATTTTAATTAAAGATTGAGAAGAGTAGAAGAAGGAGTGAGTGAGAACAGACAAGACTGACCAACAAGGAGGTCTCAGAAGAATAGCAACATTTACGTGGAATTTCGGGACACTTCTATTACAGGGTAAGAAAAGGGCTTTGGGGGAAGATGGTAAAGCAGTGTTTAAAAGGTATTCATACCAACCTTTTTTTTTTTGTCCATGAAAATATTTGCTTGAGTGACAGCATCTCTCATCGCTTTGTATGTAATTACTTAGTGATTACTGAAAAACATGCGTACATGTCCTCTGGGGGTGGGGGGGGGGGGGGGGGGGGGGGGGGGCCAATAATGCGTGTACTTCATAGTCACTTGCGCAGACGTTTGAAACAGTCATGGAAGGGACTCATTCGTGTTAGCCACCCTCAGCAAATGTGTTCACATCCTGGGAGTCAAAACCGGGCCACCAGTTTTAAAAAGAGCAATCCTAATTGCTATACAAAATGGAAACCAATGAGTTGAACATTGTTTATCTTCATGTTAATGACTTCACGATGCCATTTCTTTTCCTTTACAGGTGCTCTCTGTTTCTATGTGCCACAACAATAATTGGATGCCAGAAGGAATATCTGGGTTTCATATCATTTATTTATCTTGTCTCCATTAATGCCTATGACGACTGTTGCTGTTAAAATGCTATCCCGGTTGCAATTATATATACATACATGCACACCTCACCCCATAATTTGTTTATCCCTAAGGTAGTTTATAAATTCTCCCATTAAATAGATATTATCAAACTGTGTCACAGTCATTTAATTAATTCCAGATGCCCCATTTAAGACTTGGCAATGTGTGTGTGTGTATGTGTCTCCAGGCCAGGTCAAGGCTGGCACTCTGGGCTTTATGAAGGACTCCTCCTGCAGTGCAAGGAGACAGCTGTGGTGAGGCCTCTGCCTGTCCCAGAGCAGCCAGCATTAGGCCTCCTTATAATATGTCTCTGCCATTCTGTTGCCCTTAATCAGAGTTCTTATTTGCTCATGCTGGACAGACAGGAAAAGACATCATGATTCTGGCTGTGACTCAGAGTGCCCAGACATGTTGCATTGAGATACACCCTACAAAAAATGAATAATACAAGAGGAGTCAGACATGAACTGAAGACTCTGGCATCGCCTGTCTCTCCAGTGGTTCTGATTGTCTTCATAATCAAGTGGATGGAATCTGGTGACATGGGCCTCCATGCTCTTGTTGATTCAAGCTAATACTGTAGATGGTCTTATACTGTTCACATATGCGGCAGTATATCGAGAAGCAATTTTGTAATGAACAATCATAGTCATTAGCCAGTCGTGTTCATCATGGATCGCATGTAATTTACTACACGTCAAAAGTCAGGATTTAAAGATCGCATTCGTTTCGTGATGACATATTCATTTTTTCTTCCAGTATATGACCATTGCACAGTATCTTTGCTGGTTCAAGATGGCACAGTTTCCCTTTGTTTTACTAACTCTCGCCATATTTTCCCCCCAATTATCCAAAGGACACAATCCTATGAACTTCAATGAACTTCAGTCATCATCTCTAAAATTGTTTGCTGTGTTTCTTTCCAATCACGCACACTTACATTTCCTCCCTGTCTTGCTCCCCCTGTCCCCTTTTGCACCTACTGTGTCTCTCTTCACCTCCAGTACGGAGGAGGGTGTTCGGCAGAGCTGTGGAGGAGTGGTCCTCTCTTGCACTGACAAGCTGAACAGGCGCACTGTGTTGGTTCGACCGGTCAGCAAGCAAGATTCTTTCAGCCAATTCTCTGGTTTTTTCCCTCCTGTAAGAATATGGCTCATCTGCTTTATAGCTTTCTCTGCTATGCTTCATCTGTAGTGCCTTAGGTTCTGTGCATTCCTCAGAGATGTTTTGGCAACCCGCGTGTTGAGATTTTTACTTTGAAACTTGCCAGCTATAAAGTGTATTCCAAGCACTTGCACTTAATTCAAATCAGTCACATATGATTCGAAAGGGCTCTGACTCTTATAATATGACACTCTGAGGAATATAAGTTTGTTTGCCTCAGCGATGGCAGAATGCAGCACGTAATTTTATGTTTCATGCTGTATCCCCTCTGCCCCCCCCCACCCCCCACAAGCTTTATAATTACACAGTAATTTAAGATTAGGTTCACACATAGTAAGTCACCTTTCACTGTGTGTTTTTGAGGACACTTCTGGGGTTTTAAACAACGTTAATTGTCTTGAATAGGAGTCATTTTTACATTGTAATTGCAGACCAAATGTCATTTTCTGATTTTACATTTTTATCTCAAATTGTTTTTTAGACTATTTCCCACAAGACCATACACAGTGCATCTGAAAAGTATTCACGGTGCTTCACTGTTTCCACATCTTGTTCGATTACAGCCTTAAACCAAATCCAAATTCAAAATTATTTCCCCACCTCAAAGTTCACACACACAAAACCCCTTAAGACAATGTAATTTTGGAGGGGAATCGGGTTTCTAATTTATCGGGGGGGGGGATCACATGAGCATAAGTATTATAACAGCCTTTGACACGAAGCTCGAAATTGTGCTCAGGTATGTATCCTGTTTCCACTGATTATCCTTGAGAGGTTCCTACAGCTTAATTGGAGTCCAAATGTGGGAAAATCACTTGATTGGACATGATTTGGAAAGGCACACACACACCTGTCTATTTTCAGGGTCCCGTAGGTGTGTGCGTGTTGGAGCACAAACCAAGCAAGAAGTTAAAGGAATTGTCTGGACTGAAACAGAATTGTCTCAAGGCACAAATCGGTGTCCAGAAAAAAAATGATGCTGCTTTGAATGTTCCAATGAACACAGTAGCCTCCATCATCTGTAAATGGAAGAAGTTCCAAAGCGGCAGGGCTCTTTCTAGATCTGGCCGCCCGTCTAAACTGAGCAATCATGGGAGAAGGGCCTTAGTCAGGGATGTGACCAAGAACCCGATAGTCAGTCTGTCAGAGCACCAGCCATCCTCTGTGGAGAGAGAGGGCACCTTTCCAGAAAGACAATCATCTCATCAGCACTTCACCACTCAGGCCTGTATGGAAGAGTGGCTGGATAAAATCCACTGCCAAGTAACAGACACATGGCAACCCAGCCAATTGAAGGACTCTCAGTCCAAGACAGAGGCAAGACTCCGGTTTGATGAGACAAAGATTGAACCCTATGGCACGAATGCCAACCATCTAGTTTGAGGGAAACGAAGCACCGCTCATCACCTGACCAACAGCATTCCTACAGTGAAGCCTGAATTTGACTGTGCCCTGACGCTCCTCATCCAACCTGGTGCAGCTTGAGAGGTGCTGCAAAGAATAGGCAAAACTGCCCAAAGATAGGTGTCCCAAGCTTGTGGCATCATATTCAAAGACTTGAGGCTGTAATTACTGTCATAAATGAATCAACAAAGTCGTGAGCAAAGGCTGTAAATACTTAAGCACATGGGATGTCTTCAATTTTATTTTTCATACATTTACTACGAAAAAAAATGAAAATAAATGCCCATTGTTATTCTGGGGTGCTGCATGTTGAATTTTGAGGGGGAAAAACATTTATTTTATTTTGGGATCTGGCTGTATAATTATGAAGTAAGAAGTGAATGCTGGATGCACTGGAGCATGATAGCCCAGGTTTCTATCCTAATAGGCAATTATTTATTTCTGAATCATCGTTTAGCGTCTAAAATATGAAATGTCCATTTTACATTTTTCAGTGTCCTGTACGTCTCATTATAAATGCACATTCTTTTTCAATTGAATCTTACCAAAGTATTTTATAAGATAAGATATCCTTTATTTTTGTCCCACACTGGGATTATTATTATTATTTTAGCCCATTAATCAATGTATTTAGTTGGACATAATTCCAGTCCTGTTGCAAACCAACGTATTTTATAAGATAAGATCAGATAAGATATATTTTATTTGTCCCACACTGGGATTATTATTATTATTTTAGCCCATTAATCAATGTATTTAGTTGGACATAATTCCAGTCCTGTTGCAGTAATTATGCTTTCCCCCCCCCCCGCTCCCTCAACACTGGCCAGACGGCAGCCAAGGTCTTGGAAGGCTCTCACCAGCAACATGGATTCTTATCCATTACCTACACACAGGCTGTCACCAAAAATGTTCGTCATAAACTCACCACGCGGCCTGAGAGGCCAGCACGCAGCGCTTCCACAGCTGGGCAGCGGATTCCCGCTGATCCACTGGCAGATGGTTCACCTCAGTACCTGAGAGAAATCCTTCTGACAGCTCAGCCGTTTGATGTTGTTCTGTTCTGTCCTTTGTTAACGACTGTAGTTGGAATATTTCAGGTAGGAAAAAGTTCAATGTTCATGTTAACGGATCTATTGTTTCTTCAAAATTGTGTTGAAAGTCTTTTGAATCGTCCCAATTGTTAGACGACAGTACCAAGACGCTACAAAGACCGTGGAAAGTCAGCAGGGCAGCCGATGAGGAGCCACACATTGACCTCTCGGTGTTTACCTCTCATCTACATCAACACCAATTTAATCAGGGTTTTCTGTCCTAGATCACCTGAAAAAACTACGACACCAGGTATGGAAGAGTCATTTGAAGACATTAAGTTTGGATACTTTATAAGACATATGCAGCGGTTACCGGTATTTGTTTTTTTTTCAACAGATCTCCATGCGGATAAAGAAGACACCTTGGTATTAAAGTTGGGTTCCCTTAGCATGGCTCCTCAGGCTGATAACCCGCTCTCTCGCACTGTGCTGCGCAAAGACCTCTACCAGTAAGATAAGCCGTTTTCCCTCTCACACAAAACTGTCTAAACTACTAATCTCAATTCCAATGAAGTTTGGATGTTGTAGAGAATGTAAAGCAGATCAGCTTAAAATTATTTCAAAATCCTTTTCCGTCTATATTCGGTTGAATACAAAGACAAGATATTTAATGTTGAGATTTAGGAACTATTTTTTTTTCTTTCAAACATTCACTCATTGTAAATTTTCCAAAGAAAACTGCGGTCGATGCATGTTTACCGCTCTGTTACATCACCTTTCCTTTTAACAACACAAACATTTGTTTGGGAATTGAGGACACTTTGATGAAGCTTTGTAGGTAGAATTTTCAATTCTCGAATGATGATCACCTTCTGTTGCTCAACAGCCTGTTGTCTGTGTCGTTGTGTATTGTCCTGTGCACCAAGCAATTTCATTGGGAGACAGGTCTGGACTGCTGGCAGGCCATTCTACGGTAGAATTTTCCATTCTTGAATGATGATCACCTTCTGTTGTGCAACAGCCTGTTGTCTGTGTCGTCGTGTATTGTCCTGTGCACCAAACAGTTTCATTGGGAGACAGATCTGGACTGCTGGCAGGTCATTCTAGTTGTCACTCTTTTACTCCAAAGCCACACTGTTGTAACACGTGCAGAATATGGCTTGGTTTTGTCTCGGTGAAATAAGTAAGGGTGTTCCAGAAAAATACCCTGCTTGGATAACAGTATAAGTTTCTCCAAAACCTGAAAGTGAATGGTGCCTTCACGGATGTGCAAGTTGCCCAACGGGGATTAACACAAGCCCATACCATAACAGATGCTGGCTTTTGAACTTTGAGCTGATAACAATCGGGGTGGTCCGTTTCCTATTTGGCATGAAGGACACGGTGATTTCCCAAAACAATTTAAAACGTGGACTTGTCAGACCACAGCAAATAGTTCCACTCTGTGTCAGTCCATCTCAGATAAACTCGGACCCAGAGAAGCATTCGGCGTTTCTGAGTGTTGTTGTTATCATCGCTTTCAATTTGCATGGTAGAACTTTAACTTTCGCTCGGACCCAGAGAAGCCTTCGGCGTTTCTGAGTGTTGTTGATATATCGCTTTCAATTTGCATGGTAGAACTTTAACTTTCATTTCTAGATGTAGCGAAGAACTGTGTGAACGATTTTTAATGCAGCGGATTTGAAGGTGATGGGCATTCACTGTTGGTTTTCGGCCTTGCCGCTTATGTGTAGGAATTCTCTTGATTTTCGGAATCTTTTGATGATATTATAGACCATAGACGATGAAATCTCTAACTTCCTTGCAATTGTGACAAACGTTATTCTTTAAACTGTTGTACTATTTCTCATGCTGATGTTCATCAAGTGGTGAAACTTGCCCCATCCTTTCTTGTGAACAACTGAGCCTTTCGGGGATCCTCCTTCGAACCAATCATGATAGACTGTTCCAAACAGATGTATTTTATGATTTCCTTAACTTCCACAGTCTTGTGTGGCCCCTGTCCCAAGCATTAAATTCAAAATGAAAGAATATATGCCAAAAATAATAACGTTCATCAGTTTGAACATTACATTTCTCGTCTTTTATAGTGTATACAATTGAATATAGGTTGAGAAGGATGTGTTAGTCATTGTAGTGTTTTATGTACATTTTACACAATGTTCCAACTTCATTGGAATTGGGGATCGTATTTCAGAAAAGTCTTCCATGAGCTGATTATTGATTTATTACAATGTACAGCAGAAAGTCTGATGTCATACTTTAATTAAAGTCCAAGAGACTGAGTGTGGCTGACAAAGAATATAACCTGTTGTTAGGCAGACATTTTTAGGGTACCGGACGATAAGTCATTTGCCTCGTGAGTGTTTCCCCCAGTTATGTTTCACAATACATCTAGTGGCTGCTCCACAAAACATTTCAGCTGCATCAGCAGTGACAACACACAATGAATGACATCTTTAGGGTCTACGGCGTCTGCCAGCTCAAACAAAAGACTCATATGGTTGAAAGCTGCTAGGCCGGGAAAATCTGAACTTCTAAAGGGAATATCTCGGCAGAAAACATATTTCCCTGCTATAGGCAGTGTTGAGTATCTGGATTGTGTCACAGCTGCCTGGAAACCACAGCCCCACATTGTGTCTGTGAAAAAGCATTTGTTTGAATGGGCAGATATGTTGCTGGCAAACATATGTAATGGGGGGCGGGGTGGGGGGGGATAAAAGTGATGCCTAATGCTTTGTGCAGCTGCAAGTAAGATGTGTGCTGACACACGACGTAATGTGGAGGGAAAAAAAAGGATGGATGACAACACTTGCTTCAGCCACCGGGAATGTCTTAAAAAGGGAAAATGCAAGCAGCAGGCAGGCAGAGCTGCAAGTAAGATGTGTGCTGACACACGACGTAATGTGGAGGGAAAAAAAAGGATGGATGACAACACTTGCTTCAGCCACCGGGAATGTCTTAAAAAGGGAAAATGCAAGCAGCAGGCAGGCAGCGATGGTCTTCGCTCAGGGGCATGCCCGCCAACCTGAAACAGATCTTGAGAAGAGCTTGCATGGGATTGATCAGTTACCATAGCTACTGTTTTTACTGCCTTTTGTGAAGTGCCTTCCCCCTTTTTTTTTTTTTTTTTTTTTTTTAATTGTGCTTATTATTTTTTTGCTCAACTCATTTTCGGATGTTTTATGTTTGTTTATCATGGATGTTGGTGTGGCATATCCTTTGGTTCCACAAAAATGTGTTGACCATGTTGTTATCTTGTCAGATGATGACTGATGATCTTATAAACAAGGAAGTAATCTGGTGAGGAGAAGAAACAAGTTCCTTACCCTGAAACAGCCTTGCAATTTCACCCTATATTGGCTTGAAAAGATCTCCTTCTGGTAGTTTGAGATTCTGTGGATGTGTTGCCACATCCCCACAAAGACAATGGTGGGCTCATACAAATCTCTAGCCTGACCTCTGTGCACACTATATCGACCAAAGTCTTTGATATGCAGTTTCGGTAAATGTATGACTGACTCAGCAACATCAATATTCATCTTTTGCCTATACTGTATCATGTGCGCCACATAGACATGTTTACACCCATTCTTCTCAATACTGTGACCAGTCAGTGTGCGTGTGCATGTGTACAAACAAACTACATTCGGAGTCACCACTTCCCTTTGGGTTTGGAACCCAGAAATTATGTCAAACTACTTTGCGTGAATATTTTTCTTGTCGTAACCAAGCTTTATCTTCTTCATTACCTTCCTTGGTCATATCAGTCCAATATGATTGTTGACGTTTCATGCGTGTGCTTTGTTTGTGCTGAATCATGCTATGTTTGATCCCCCAAGTCATGTAAAGTAAGTCACAGTCAATGGGCTGTGATCATGTAAACATGTGCGTGTTTACAAACTATAACCATATGTGGCTGCAAACGGCACAGTCTGTGCCAGTAGCCATTTGCTGTAGCTCCGTATAAAGCGCACCTCTAATTACATCCGTTGACAAAACTGAATGACTAATCCGAGGTACAGCTTTGGTATTATTGTCTCCTGCACGTGAAATTAGTTAGAATGTCTAACACGGGCTTTGATTTGAATGCCACCCTGAGAGACAAGAGGACGGCGAAGGCTAAGGGGAGAGCTGGTGTAAACATTCAAACAGAGCATATCTAGATGAAGGTCCACTAACTAATGCTATCTGGAACTTCCATTTCATCCCGAACATTATCAGCGCACTTCAGCTTCTCCAAAGAAGGCTAAATAAACCAGTGTCTCCAAGACTGCTGGCCCAAATTGGTGTTCACTCGGCGGTTCATTTGGTAGCAGTCTACAGTTTCATTTGATCATGTGATGTTGAATTTAGTTTCCATCGAAGAGGAGCTCCCCAGCGGCTTCTCTGCTAAGCAGGAATTATTACACAGGCCTCAAGGCTTCCCATTTTTTCTTCCCTCTCCATCTTGAGCTTACAAGGCCGCTGTCAATTTACACAGCTGAAATCATTTTCCTTTCTTGAAAAATTGTGTGCATGAGTGCTGGTCCGAAGAACGTCCAGCATGTGTTCAACCCTGACTTTCTTGTGGTTTGGACCCTTTCTAAAATCACGCAGATCTTTTACTCCCCACTTGCAGTATGTATATTTTTTTCTTCTCCAATCATTTTTTTCCGCATTGTGGAACACCCAATTGAAAGCTTCTTGTTGGGCTACAAGTTTGTTTGACAGGAGATTACAAGCACCCCGGAGATGGATGCACGATGTCACATGGTGTCACATGATGTGACATGTAGCATCACATGCAAGATGCACTGGGACTGGTTTTAAATCAGGTTTGTGCTCTCTTTTCTGGCCTGTGGTTATTGATCATTCAAAGTGGAATTTCTCATTCTTGACAACATTTGTACTGAGAAGCTGGATGGGTGACAATGTGTTTGACTTCATTAAAAAAAAAAAAAAAAAAACAGTTGTGAAGATAAATTAATCTGTTAGAAGCACAAACTGTCACCACAATATTTACTTCCTGAATGTGTCCGGGCAAAATTTTAAGTAACAGTTGAACATGTATTGTTACTCTTGTACGTCAGTGGAAAGACGTTTACCTTCTTGTATTGCGTGCCATAGAAAATATTGGTTTGCCAAGGAAAACCCAAGGTTTTCTAAAAACAAAAAAAAAAAATATGTTAGGGTGTACTCATTTATGTTGAGTCCTGGATTAGTGTATTTATTTGTGCTCACCATCCTGCACATTTCCCGACAACTCCAAAATGACACAGCTTGACATTCCATCACATACCCGTTACCTCATGGTCTGTCTGAGAGAGACCAAGGGAGCATCCCACAGTGCCTCAAAATATGTCTTTTGTTATTTTGTTTTGATTGGTGCTCATGTCTACGTTTCCATGGTAACACACCGAAGGCTGCTGTGAGCAGTAAGAGAGAGCAAAGCCAAAATTGTGTACTGTATCTATAAGATGGTATTTCAGTCTTCATTTTTGTCCTCTACTTTGACATATACATTTTG